TACAAAGCACATTCAAGCAAAAAAAAGAAACATTTCAAACATCAGATAAAGTTGTCTATGGAGCAACTGGATCCAGCCCAATGTGCGGCGTGTACACCAAGGTGGTCAACGACGCCCATGGACATCCGCAACACCAGAGGAACTACAGATGCGTTGCTTTGAGGAAATGATGGGCTCGCTTCTTATTCACTTTTATTTTTTTCGCTTGAATATTCGATTTTTTTTATAATACTTAAAGTAGAACTTTGTATAAATGCGTAATCTCCTATGATTCATTAATAACAATGAAATTTTTTTATTTCCTCCATAACATTGTAAAGGGCGGCCATTTGCCGTTGTCTCAAAATGGCGTCGACCATTACCGTATCTCCTCGTTGAGCGCAGTCTACAAGATGAGGAATAATTTTGTTTTATATTAATGCCGTTAATTAAGTTATGTGCCATAAATGGTTGTATGTTAGACGTTTGGACGTCAAGTTATTGCTCGTTAGAGTAACGTACTCTGCGGTAACTTAAGTCCAATAAACTGACGCAATATATCGTGAACTTAGACCTAATAGAGCAATGAAGACATTATTTAATGTTTATTATTGTTATATTGTCTTTCATTTCTGTCTTTTACAGTTAATCTTTTAAAGGTTGATTTGTAATTTGAAAGAAAAAAACATGATCATATGAGTTTTAGACTTTAGAGTAATTTGTACAGCGTCAAGTTCCATGTGACGATACTAGCGACATCAACTTCATAAGTTGGCAGATAACATCTGCAAACTGCTACAATACCACGAGAAGGCAGGCATCAAATGGAAATATTACCGCGCTTCGTCTGATGAATACAGAGATCAATTCTAGTCCCCTTCCACCCTTTGTTACAAGGAAAGGATGGGATAGGAAGGGAAAAATCTTCCGTACTTTTCATATATTTAAGACTTTTCCCGCGATTCTGTTCGCGTGGAATTAAAAAAAGCAAAAGTAAGTAGTTTATGTGTTCTTCCAAGCTATCCTCTACATCTGCCAAACATCGAGATTCGTTCAGCAGTTTACACTACAAACTCTAACAGACATAAATCCATCCATCGGTCTAAACTTTCGCATTTATGATAGTAAGACAAGTGTGATAGTAACTTGTAAATAAACGTAAATAACGCGGAATTATCATCATCATCACCAGCTCACTATAGTCCCCACGTAGGCTCAGAGCCTACCCTCAGTTAGTGTCTAGACCTATCAACCTGCACAGCGGGTTGACACACATATCTTTGAATTTCTTGTCTACAATGATCGCATGTTTATAATTCAAGATGTAAGTGTTTGGGCCAGCGGACGGAGTATCAACGCGGACTGTCCTGGCCCCGTGCCAGCCGACTCAGCGGAACATGTGAGCTTTACTATTGTTCTAGTGATGTCTATTTATCGATAGACATTTTTTGTAGTCGATTCGAAGTTCGAAATCCAATTACTTTGTATTATAGACTTTAAAGTTCCTGTAGTATACGAATGTATTGATTTTGTTGTTATGATTTTAATTCTTCTTATTATCTGGTACTCGATATTTTATAGTCTTGTAAAACGGATTGAATTAAAGTGACATAACACTAGAAATCCGCTCCGGCTTCAACCGGGTTGTAAAGCATATATAATTTTACACGAATATTTAGAAATACACTGTTTATAAATGTTTAGTTACAAAAATGTAGCATACTAGCTTCCGCCCGCGACTCAGTCCGTGTGGGATTTAAAAAAAAACAAAAGTGAGTCGCCTATGTGTCCAGACTATCCTCTACATCTGTATAATTTTTTATCGATATCCGTTCAGCCGTTTAGGCTACAAAATCTAACAAACATCCATCCATCCATACATCTAAATTTTTGCATTTATAATATTAGTATGCTGTAACTCAGTATTCATTAAACTTTGCAATAAAGAAATAATTTTTTAAACCGGTTAATTTTGGAGTCTATTTAATATAGACAATCAAATATTTTCTTTTCATAATAATAGTATAGATAAATTGTAAGTTAAATCTAATGGTTACTAACAAAGTTGTTCATATTTAATTTTATCGATATCATAGACATCACTAGCAAGGCGAGTGTAATAATCGACAGGCCGTGTACAGCACTATCCCGCCTTATCTTGGCCCGAGTCAGGAACTCGTATATAGTTGCAATTTTCTGTGACTGCGACTTGAACCCTTTAATGTCTAGGCCAATTTCACTTTGTACATAAAATACGTCTTTTAAATTGAAATAAATAGTTAATTTATTTTACAAACATCGTTTTAAACTAACTAATAAGCTTATGTCTTAGTCTATACTGATATTATGAAGAGGTAAGGTTAGTATTTTTGTATATATTGAAATAACTCAAAAACTACAGGGCCAATTTCAGAAATTGTTTCACTAATCTATCTATCTTTTGTGTTTTCTTACAGATTTCGCCAATGTCAAGTATATATAATACTCTAACACAACTAAGACAACCCCGATATATATACAGGAGTTAGTCGGAAACACGACAGACAATCTACAGCTGAATATTATTAAGGTTGATGAAAGAACTAAGAGTGTAAACGAAAGGGGTTTCACTAATCAAAAGCTACGTTATCAGTGAGTAACATAGGTTGTATTTTTTAAATTTACGCGGGCGCAATCGCAAGCAACAGCTAGTAATATTATAATTCTGAAAATTATGATCGATGTATGTTACAACTTAAATATAATAGCTTGATTAGTTTTTTTTAATCAATCCTTACTTGTAAGAATAATTTGAAATAAGTAAGCAGATATCAGATGTCACGTAAAAATTCTTAAACTTTTTATATTAAAACTAGCTGTTCCCGTGCAGCTTTATCCGCATGAATTGTAAATTTTTTATTTTATTGTTTACATTTGTCATATTATCAATAGCAAATGTGAAGATGACATCACATAACAAACCTTGACAGTCTTGCTTCCTTGATGTTGGCAGCAACTTATGGTCTCTTTCCCACATTGTTTTTTTTTTCCAAAATATTTACCCCTTAAGTTTAATAGCGTTAAAATATATAGCCTAAAACGTGACGCAAGTGTAGGGCTTTTTATTAAAAAAAGAATTATTTGAAAATATTCTGTAATTGCTGACATCTTAGGCAACAAAGAAGTGTGTGTTTACGCTTTATTATAATAAGTACAGATAGATTAATAACTTCGGTTTGCTAAATAAAATTACATTTTGAAGTAACACAAATATTTAATTTCTACAACTAATTAAATTTTAAGAAGCAGTTTAAAACTTTACCAATTTAATCTCCTTTCAAATGATATTAGAATATTTGAAAACTTAATAAATAAATAATGATTTATTGTTTATGTTAAGCGGAAGTCCGCACCTGTGACGCGGAACAAGATGGCCGACAATAATCAATCATACAACATAAGTTGCAGCATGAATGCCCAAAGAAATAATATCGCGGAATCATTCTCAAGTATGGGGCCATGAAAACTACGTATAGAACTGCCCTTTCGCATAACGCAACAAAACAGAGATACGTCTTATGAAGTGTGTTTCGTCTGGTGATTGTGTCTAGAGGCAAGATTCTTATCCTTTTTCCTTCCCTTCGTTTTCTTTTAAGAGACCCGTGGAAAAGATATATGTTTTCTTTCCGTACGTCACTTCCTCTGTCTAATAAAAGTAATTAACGAATCTGAAACTTTTTAATTTCTTAGAAATGTCTGTATGTAGTGGTCATTGTTGTTTTTAATAAAACATTTTGTGATCGTTAGCCATCTATTAAAAAAAATATGAACGTGAAAGGTAACATAAATGGATAGATGTTTGTTAGAGTTTGTGCCCTAATCTACTATAAGGATCTTTACTAAACTTGGCATAGATGTAGAGGATAGTTTACGCATAGGTTACTTACTTCTGTTTTTATTTTCACGCGGAGTCACGTGCAAAAGATAATATAGATTTTAAAGCAGGTTTCGTGGCCCCAATACGCAGAATCTTGATAGAAAAGAGGTTGCAAGTCATCGTGCGGACAGAACTGGCCTTAACAAGAGATGACCCAAATACATCGTCAATAAACAAGCCTTGTTCCTTTGACGAAAAAAAAGTTTTCACTTTCTCTATGTCATCTTCAAAGCTCGATTGTGACCATAGATTTATTGTCCAATCTATTTTGCGTATACTCTCTTGATAATTTATTATATTCATTGAATATAAAAGCATTTTGAAAATAAAGACAAAATTACTATAAAATATTTAATAAACTACTAAAAATATTGTGATTTCTAAATTATTATTTACAATAGATAATAAAAAAATACATTACAATGATATATTTTCCTTAACTAACATTTTTGTAATTCATTACAATATTTTAAACGCAAAGAATAAAACGGAGAGATGAATAATAAAACATTTCAGACATATGAGGTAATACTAAATGCTAACCATAAAAAATAAACATTTTTTTACTTAAATAGTAGCTAAATAAATTAAAACACTTAAAACTAGCCTGCGCACATCTTTGACTAAACTATCGCCTAACTGTCTAGTCTTGCTTTGATTCCTATTGGATTATATGAAGCGCACACTACTCGATTTTTAGTTGTGCAACTAAACAGTTGAAGGCTGCGAAACAATTGACAATCGCACAACAGTTATGCGATAGTTTTGTCAAAAGTGTGCGCTTTCTCTAACAAATATAAAAGACGAGTAACAGCTAAATTCTGAAACGAATTTATTACTTCAATATAAATACTGCCTACTGTACTCGTAATTTGGAGTGTCAAAGTCTTATAATTTAAGACGTTGCGTATTCAAAGATCGTTTCAGTATTTAGACGTTAAGTCTTGAATGCCGCTCTCAAATAATGGCCTGAATTAACGGTTACTAAAACAACATTTAAATATGGAACTGCGTTTAGAATATAAGGCTTCGCCTCAAGTCTAAATTCCATACACAAACTTCGATGTCAGCAATCACAACATATTTTTTAACAATTTTTTTTAATAAACATTCCTACAATTACGATACGATAGGCTATATATTGAAGCTATTAAACGAGGGTCAGTAAATAAAAAAACACGCTCTGCGAGAAAGGGATAACAAATCCTAGACATAACAGCATCAAGGTTGCCATGGTTATTTAAATTTTCAGCCAGCAAGGGCTATCACTTGAGTACTTCAATTTCGACGTTTAACGGAAGGTAGAGAATGAAATAAGGTTTTTATAATGTAGTGCAGATCTTTTAATTATTTTAACAGTTTGTTAAACTAATCTTTACTATACTATTATAATAAAGCGTAAACACACACTTCTTTGTTGCCTAAGATATCAGCAGTTACAGGATATTTTTGGATATTCTTTTTTAAATAAAAAGCCCTACACTTACGTCACGCTTTAGGCTATATATTTTCACGCCATTAACTTAAAATATTTTGGATAAAAACCCTAATGTGAGAAAGAGACCATAAGTTGCTGCTAACATCAAGAAAGAAGCATTGCTAAGGTTTGTCATGTCATGTCATTGTAACATTTGCTATTGATAATTTGACAATTGTAAACAAGAAAATAAAAATTTTCACAATTTCATGCGGGTGAAGCCGCACGGCAAGAGCTAGTTGAAAGATAAATATTTATTTATTCTATTAATAAAACTATCGGATAAAATAGGTTTTGACGATATTCTATCTCTAAGATTAGCTATCGTTGACACTAAATAGTTTCTAGGAGTCGAAGTAATAAAATTTGACGGATTACTTTTAAAACTGTTACCTATTAATACAACGTTTTCTGTACTTTCTTTAGGATAATAATTAAATGTAGGCTGGACATTAGGCAAAGCTTTCGATAAAACATCTTCAAGGTCAAGATTCGGTTTCACTGTCGTCAAATATGGATTGAAATCTTTCAATGAATTTTCTTCAAATAGTACTGCAAATTTACTTTGATGTGGTTCATATTTTTTATTATCAAATTCTGCTGAATAATCGTTATAATATTCTTTTGAAATATCAGTATAATCTGGTTTAGGAGCTTTGTAGTCTTTTAGAGTGTTGTAGTCCAATTTATTTGTTGTTTTGGTTATTTCTTTAGTAATTGGTGCGTTATAATCGTTGTAATCTTTCCTATTATTAGCATTTTGATTATCATATTCAACGCTGTTTACGTCATCTATGTCATATCTGACGTCAGCTTTGTAACCGTTTTCATCAGCTGTGTAAGAAACTATTTGTATTCGACCATCAGGTAGTTTCACACGATACTCGCCATTGGTAGCAGAACCACTTCTTTGTTGGGAATGAGAGAAATCGTCACCCGTTTTTTGATCTTTCACTGTGTAGGAAAACGCATAGCTTTTGTCCTGAAATTAGAATTAACTTTTCATTTGAGCATTGTTCTAAACATCAGCGAGTATACCAAGATCATCAAAACATCCGCAATAACAGAGGAACCACAGCCTTTGAGAAGGTGGCTCGCTTTTTAAAGGACCCTAAGTCGTAGTTTTTTTAATATGACCAAGAACAGATCATTCTGAAAAATCGAGGTAGGATATTACTCGACAACTGCACAGTTGGAGTTTTACAGCCTTACAAATAAACGCGGTGTAAAGTTAAACCTAGGAATAAAACTGAATTGATACTAATATTTGCTTATACTCAGTTTATTTCTAAATTTAACTTTATACCGCGTTTATTTGTAAGGCTCAGTGTTTAACCAATAATAGTATACGATTAAAAAATAGCGAAGTCTGTGATATGAATTTTGGCAATTTTAGATTTATTTAATACTAGCTTTCGCTTGCGACTCCGTCCACGTGGAATTAAAAAAACAATCAGCCTATGTGTTCTATACTATGTTCTATATCCATACTAAATTTCATCCAGATCCAGTCAGCCGTTTAGGCTACAAACTCTAACAAACATCCATCCATCTAAACTTTCGCATTTATAATATTAGTACTAACCTTTTCGTTATCTGAATTCTTTCCTTCATCAGATATATCACTGTAGTCGTTTTGGTTTACTTGTATTTTAGACTGAAAACATATTTATAATAGTAAATACGTACGTTATTGTATTTGTATTAAATGAAAATAAGCAGTTTCCTTTTTCTTCATAATATAAGCAAACGAGCAAGCGGCCACCTGAATCAGCCATAATAGCGAAGCGACCGCTGCCCATAGACATCCACAATTGCAGCGCTGCCTACCCTTCATTGACGGAGGAGACGAACATAAAGGTGATATTTTCCCTTCCGATGCGTCTCCTCCACCGTTAAATCCACTTTTCCTTACCATCCTTTCCTCTTAAGAAACGGATGGAAAGGGAAAGGGACTAAAATTATGCCTCCGGCACCACACTCATCAGACTGTACGGAATTGCTTCCACTTGTCTTGTGTGGTCGTGGTATTACTGGGGGCAAGCCGACCCTACAGTGCGAAGATGTTAAAGCGGGCTCTACCATTGTCAATGTGCGAAAATTCATATTAATAATTTACCTGATAATTGTAGACAGGGTAGGACGGTTGGGTTGTCTGAATATTTTGAGCTAAAGCCTTGTATATTGGTGGTAAAACAGTTCTTGTCTGTAAAAATAAAATTACATTTTTTTAGTATGAATACCACAAGTTTATATAATTCCGGAACAATATGAATGTTCTTGATCTGGGTTGGATTGTTTACTATCGGCCCAGTTATCGCCGACATTATGTAAGTCGTAGGCCAATGGTTTTTTTAACATAATTAAACTAGCGCTTGACAACAACTCCACCTAAGCTAAGTGAAGACGCGGCCGTTATTACAACTGTCCAGTTGAACTTGCGTAATGTAATCTCAGTGAAATTTCTATGCCTATAACACTTAAATACGTACAAAATATCTAACCGCTAAAATAATACAATTTCATTTTAAACCAGAAAACAAATAAATTTAAATTTTCTACATAATAACCAAGATATCTTTCAGTAAACCTTTGAATTCTGAACAATATTATATTTTAAAATAAACAACTCAAAAATAACTCGTTTTCCTCATTTATTCACCCCTTTCAGAAGTAAGCCGCTGTTAATTGGCGTTTAAGTATTTTGCATAAATTCATTTCGTAATTATCACATTCAAAATATATGTAACAATCAAATTTAAATAAGAAACGACTAGATAAACAAAATTGCCCTAAAAGATACGAAATATGTAAATCTATTAAACAATTATAAAATTTCCGTATACTGAAACTAAACTGTCTGACAACTGTTTAGTCTCGCTGTGATTCATATAAGCTTGTATGGAGGTGCGCGAACTCGATTTTTAGTTGTGCAACTAAACAGTTGACTGCGAAACAATCGACAATCGCACAACAGTGCGATAGTTTAGTCAAAGATGTGTGCCAAGACGCCTTTAGATATTTAACTAGCTTTCGCCTGCAACTCCGTTGGCGTGGAATTAAAAAAAACAAAAGCGAGCAGCCTATGTGTTCTTCCAGACTATCGACTACAACTATACCAAATTACATCCAAATCTGCTCAGCCGTCAATGCTATAAACTCTAACAATCATCCATCCATCCATCTAAATTATAATATCAGTATGATTGGCGTATCAGTATTCGGCTTAAGTTTACCTCAAATTCATTGTAGCCACCAAAGTTGTTTCCAATAGATTTCCTTTCGATATCTGTATAAGGTGCTTGGTCATAAACATAATCGTCCACATCACCAATTCTAGGTGCTAAAGTGTCTGGTGACAAAGTTGCTAAAGTGACAGGTTTGTATTGTGTCAGTCTCGCGAAGTAAGGCTCGAAGCTATTTATGGAGGCTTCAGATTTTGATGTAGGCGCAGGCTTCGTTGTTGGGTCTGGCGGTGACGGTGGGAAGAGAACGGGACCTTTCCTGGAAAAGGTGCATGTTAATTTACACAAAGTTGGTAAAATTATTTAACTGTACTATACTACTGCAAATAAGCGTAAACACACACTACTTCGTGACGTAAGATGTCTGCAATCACAGCATATTTATAATAATGCTTTCTGAGCCCTATACGACACGCTTTAAGCTATATATTTTCACGCTAATAAACTTGGTTCATGTGGGAAAGGGACCATAGTCTACAAGGTGCCAACATTAAGTAAGCAAGATTATTATTGTAAAGGTACTTTTGACATTTGCAATTTTAACATTTTTATAATTTCATGCGGATGAAGGTGCACGGGAGCAGCAGGTTTTTAAATATCGCAAGTGTTTGAAATCAGCTACTGTAATGTTTTACCCATATTTTTTGCAATGAATTGGTTAAACGCGACGCGTTGCCTATGGACAAACGTCACTACAAGAGCTTAAAGAAAAGTTGTAGCATTTCACCACATACCTGGTTGGTACTGGACCTAAAAGTTTATTAAGTCTGTCCAAATACTGTCTAGATTCTTCTGCGAGGTATGACGCATTGGAAGGTTCTTGTGCTCTCACCGCTTCTAATAATACGAGAAATACGAAGGCCTTCATTGTAAATGGGGTCCCTGAAACATATTAAAAAAGAAAGTCAAAGGGTATTTTCAGTTCTAGTGTTTGAAATTTATGGGAAGGGTAGTTATTAGACATAACATAGAATAGCTTCCACTTCGCATCTGTTATGTCTTATGTAGCTGTTGCTCGGTACTTCGTCCATGTGTAATTAAAAAAAAAACAATAAAAACATGTCCTATGTTACTCACTGATAATGTAGCTTTTTAATGGTGAAAGAATTTTTGAAATCGAATCAGTAGTTTTTGAGTTATTTCAATACATACATAAATACAAAACTTTCTTCTTTATAATATTAGTATAGATTGCAGAGGTCAACCGAGCCTTTTACAGTTAAATATTTTGGGTTGCTGATGTTTTCGTTTTTTTTATCACTAGCTTACGTCCGCGTGGAATTAAAAAAAAATTAAGTAGCATATGTTTTCTTCCAAACCATACTCTACATCTGTGCCAAATTTCATCGATATCCGTTCAGCCGTTTAGGCTACAAACTCCAACAAAGATCCATTCATCCATCTAAACGTTCGCATTTATTATATTAGTAAGATAAGATTACGAAGTGCTTCATTAGTATGTTGAACTAAGTTTCAATAGAGTAAAACTCAAGTTAAGTTCGGAAACGCATTTCATAATGTTATCGAAATATTAGTGAATGGTTAAAAGCAAGCAAACCCGCAGTTAGAAATGTATTCATGCACATAAGCATATTTAAAACAGATAGATTGACTGTTGTTTAGATATTAACGTTTAAGGGCCTGTCACACCAAATTGTAAATTGTCTGATAACAATGCAAAGTGTAAAATATGCGATGGAAATATCGGATTTTGTTCTCTATTTGACAGTGACGTCATTTTTAAGCTATCTGAGCTTCTATCAGCCAGTGGGACAGGCCCTAAGTATTGAAAAAAGAGTTTTGTCACATATAAATGTTTTCATTTTGCTTTATTTCTAGAATTATTATTACTTTCCTGTTGAATCAACACGATTTGTTTTTACATTATTTTGTTATTTTAAATGAAAAATTAAAGCACCTCGAGCGATATGTACGTCTTTATTAGGGTGACAACACATTTGAATGTTTGATATTATTTTGTAGTAATATTTAAGTGGAATTTCTATATTATGGAATTTAACAACTAAGTTATAGCAATATTAGCTGTTGCCCGCGACTTTGAGAAAATATACGAACTACATAAATAACAAAAAGCTACGTATCCCTCGGGAACCGGACATTTCTAGGGAATGAACCTTATCCCATGTGTACTCCAGACTTTGTTTATCTGTGTCAAGTAAATTAATAAATCCCACGGGAACCGTAACTATTTCCGGGACAAAAAGTAGCCTACGTGCTCTTCCAGATGCTCTAAACCTATGCCGAATTTAATGGAGATCCGTTCAGCAGTTTAGGCTACAAACTCTAACAAACATCCATCTAAACTTTCGCATTTATAATATTAGTATCAGTATGATATGATTGACAAATACCAATGCAGTATTTATCTATTTGTAGTTAAGATTAGAGTACATTTTCATTGAAGTTAAAGATGTATATAATATCTTGAAGAAAATATCTACGAAAAATGAATGTTGGTAAGGTCTATATAAGGCCTAGTCACAATGGAGTCTACCTTTAGAGTAGACAATATATATTGGGCATAAGATCTGAAGGAACAAGAAATTATACTTCCAAAATAAGTGTGTACTCATCTTTATTTGAGATATAAGTTTATGTTCCCCTTGAGACATTCAACATGATTCAATTTCAATGTAATATTTTACTTCTCTCGAGCTGTTTGTTTCGTACGGTACGTCTGTGTTCTAACGAATGGATTAATAAAAAAATAATATTCACTCGAGTGAGAAGCCTGTCATGTTGGTATCATGTATCCAAGATGTAATTTATTTTTTACGAAAGGAAGTAAATGTTTTTATAAAATCTAGCTTTGATATACAGGATGTTAACAAAGACCACAATTCTCTTGACGGGCAAAAAAAGTAAAGGGTTACAAAGTTGAAAAGTACTTTTTGAAATATGGTGGCAACTGAGCAAGCGGCCACTTGAGTTAGCAGAAATAGTGAAATTACCCATGCTCATAGACATCTGCAAAACCAGATTATTTACCTTAAATTGGCGGAGGAGGGTTCTAACATGATAACGTTTTAGAAACCTCACTCCAAACGCTGCATGCATAGAAATAAAAAAAAATATCAATAAAAACAATGACCGTAAAATTAAACGGTTTTTAAAAAAAAGCACAAACAACACACGCAATATTTGCTATCTTGATTGCATCATTGTCTTCTGTGTGAACGCGCCTGTCACAGATAGCGGCGGCCATATTGTCCGTTGTCATGGCAACGTCATTGTTTTGCCGCGCTCGCGTGTGAATACGGCGGGATTTGCATTTTATAGAATAGGGACGCACCAATTTTAACATCGATAATTTAAAAAAAATTGCAATAGCTTAGTAATAAGAAATCTATTTAAAAAACACAGTGATTACCAAGGTAAATTGAACTGCTGATAATTTAATTATTACTAACACTATTATCGTAGTTTCTTTTTATGGATTTGACCTTAGCACGGTAAATATAAAAAGTTATTTCGGAATGATTTTTCTAAACAATTTAGTCTCAACTTTTAACCAACCGACAAAATAGATTTGTTTTTAACCAGTATTAATAATGTATTAAAATTATCTATTTATTGAACAAGTCAAATGGCTAATTACAAAAATTAAAAGTTATCGATATTCGGTTATTGAACGTCACATCACTATATGGGGCGTAACGTATAGAAAATATGGTGTGGAATTTTGATTTGTCGGTGTACTCGTTCATTGTGAGATTTATGAACGTAATTTGTGTTAGATAGCGACCGCTTTTGATGTTGTCTTGTTTATTTTGTTTAACTGTTGTTTTACTGTTAAACAATTATTAATGGACATGTTTGGGGTTAGTTAAATTTTGACTGGCATGACTGTACATCTATACTATTATAATAAAGCGTACACACACTCCTTTGTGGCGTAGGATGTCAGCAATCATAGTAATTTTTGTATAATTCTTTCTTTAATAAAAAGCCCTACACTTACGATACGCTTTAGGATATATATTTTCACGCTATTAAACTTTTGGGTTAAATAACTTGGAAAAACCTTCACATGGAAAAGGGAGCATAAACTACAAGCTGCCAACATTAAAGAAGCAAGATTATTCTGGTAACGGTAATTTTGACATTTGCAATTGAAAATTTGATAAATGTAAACAATAAAATAAAGTTTTTATAATTGCGGATGGAGCCGCACGGGAATAGCTAGTTAGATTTATATTTTTGAATGCTTGAGAATTAAAATCATCACTTCCCAAACACTGATAGGTTGGAAAAGACTATCTCGTTTATTAGTTAGTTACCTCTATCATTATACTTTCAAAATGGCGAAAATCAAATGAGCACAGAAAACAACGTCTTGTAGCCTGGTCATATAAGTTAATATTTCGCAACATGCTTGCGCAAAAAAACTTATTATAAATTAATTAATTAATATTACTATACTTACTTTAATCAATTTTATAAACACACAATAAATTAAAAATTATCCCACATAACCTTGCATAATATATCACTTATAAAATTAAAAAATAAATCATAAGTTTCAGAACGATGCGTCCGGAACTGCCCGTGTCAGCCGAGATTTTTTAAAAAGTTTCGATTTAAAAATGGCGCGCAACTTCACAACGCTATGGCTAGTTTTTTAATGGCGGCAACCGTCCACCGCGGACTTATTTATTGCGTTTCTTCTTTAAAAGTTGCCCATTATAAGTTTTGTAACTATCGAGTAACTAGTTCGGAATTTTTAAGACATTTTTCCGCTGGTCATTTTCGTGACACAGTTGCTATTTTGCGAATACTTTACAATGAAGATCTATTATTCTGCTGTCTAGAGTTACGAAAGTTTCAATTATTATATAAGGTAAATAATTTTATAAACCACATCTTTAGTAGACAATAAAGACTAGTAAATAAGATTATTTGGACCTATAACATATTTAATTATCACGATTGCGAGGAGCCTATACCTTGTATTAAACATTTAATATGTTAGCTTTTGTATAATTTACAAGAACCCCATTGTTTCATTCATCGTCATCATCACCAGCTCACTATACGTCTCCACTAAGGGGCTCGGAGCCAAGGGCGGATCCAGCTTTGGCGCCAGGGGAGGGGGTCACATAGTCATGGTCAAGTCAAGAGCTTGACAAAATATATTTATATATTTTATCAAGCTCTTGTCTCAAGGTCATGACTCCTATGACCCCCCCCCGCCCTGGACCCGTTACTCGGAGACTTCCCTAAGTTAGGAGTGACTAGGCTATCATGGTGAACCATGCTACACTGCGGTTTACATTACATGTCCTAAATATTAATAAAATGTTGTATATAGACTGATTTTTACATTACAATTGTTAAGACTAAGTAATAAAAGGTTAACTACTCATTAATGTTTCATAAATTGACTAACTTTTGCCCGCGACTACGTCTACGCAATATTAAGATGAGTCAGGTATTCAGTCAAAGTCCGGTCGCAATCAACCCAGCCGTTTCGGAGATTACCCGGAATAAACGCGGCTTGCGCACACACAGACAGACAAACAATTTTAAATGCGATATTCGTTATCAACAACGCAAATACATCATCTTCCCGAAATTTGGATTTTTTTTATATTACAAACAGACACACTAATATTATATGTATATTTTCTATTCAAATTTAAACATTCTAGCAAAAAGTGACGACACGAAGTATTTAAAGTGATTACAGATTGTTAAGTAGTGATTTGATTTATGTAGGTTAAGGTAATAATTATTGTTCTCAATATTAGACCATTTTTTATAGAAAAACCTTTAGCAATTCACAGATTAGATTTCAAGCATTTAATTATACCTCTCTGATTATATATAATTATATATCTATATATTATATTCTTATATATTTTTCTGAACATTTTTTTTAATGTTTTATTATTTTATGATGTATGGAAGAGCAGCACATACTGTGCTGACCCTCCATTAGGGATAAGGGCAAGTTGATGATGATGTTTTATTTCTTTTCTTTTTATTGTGTTTCATTTTTATTCATACTGATATTATTGCGAAAGTTAAGATGGATGGATGAACTACCTATCGGATAAAAAAAGGATTTTCAAAATCGGTCCACCGGGGGCGAAGCGATACGGAAAAATATACGGACGTGTGTACCTCCTTCTTTTGGGAAGTCGGTTACAAAGGTTCAATCTCTATACGTCCTATAGTTGGCGACGAAAGCAGTATATTCATTTAATAACAGCTGTCAAGTTTAATTACAAAACCTATAAGTAATGGTTACAGCGATGTTAATTCTCGTGAGAACGTCATTTTTATTTTTAATTGTTTAAGTTTGTACAATGGAGAAGTTAACAGGAGATGATTGACGCTTATTTGCCTGAGTAACCAATTTGATAGATAAATAATGTTGGTAAACCAGTGATTCTTTCCTATTGCATGAAGAGTAATGTTTGTACAATCGGGGAAACTGGCGGTGTTCCACATTAAAATCTATAATACGTTTGAATATTTTGAGGAAACGCGGATCAAAATGTATTTGTACGAAAAAAATGTGATACACGGTTGGATTGTTTGAATCATTATCTCTTCGTTTATACTGACTACTATCTAATTAGTTATTTAAAGGAAGATGAGGATTCTCGTTGCAAAGGACAAGGCAATTTCTTCCAAAACGAAACACCGCGGACTTCCGCGACTGTACATCTGTTGCTGTAGCGCACTGTAGAAAAGTAAATCATAAGATGTTACAAAAGCCAATCATAAAGAAACAAGTGAAGTTTTTAGAAATAGAACACTTTTTTGAATTTCGGTCTATATTCAATTCGGAGTAAAACACAAGTTACATTCGGAAACGCATGTCATTAAGGTATCGCAAAAACACGAACGAATTGTTAAATATATATGAAAAACTGACCATGAAAGGTAAATCTAATGTTTATATTCATGGACCAAAATCGATTTTGTATTCCTTGAAATGTTATACATCTGTACTTATATAATAAAGCGTAAATACACACTACATCGTGGCGTAGGATGTCAACAATCACGGCACATTCTTGGATAATTCTTTCTTTAATAAAAAACCTTACACTTACGACATGCTTTAGGCTATACATTTTCACGCTATTAAACTTAGGAAGTAAATAAATTGAAAAAACCTTCATGTGGGAATGGGACCATAAACTACAAACTACAAGTTGATTTTGACAAATGTAAACAATAAAATAAAGTTTTTATATCATGCGGATGAAGCCGCACAGGAACAGCTAGTTTTTTTTACAGTTAATCACTTGTTTAGCAATATGAGTATAACTTTAACTAAAATTAAGTTAGATATCTCAGATAACTGCTTATCTAACGATCCGGGACGACAGGGTCACGACACCGTCGCGGGTACATCACGATCTCTTTGTCGACATTCATTAAGTCGACGTTCGATTTTGAGTGCTTTGATCTAAGAAAGGATTTTAGGGACCAGTAGAGTTTTAATAAATAATTAAATGGTTTTAGATAAATAAATAAAATTCAGTGATTGTTCAACGACTGTTTTTCAATCATTTTTCAATTCATTTTTGTTGATCAATCAGGGAATATACAAGCTTACAATTATAATGTAAACCCGCGAAAAACTTTACCTCCATATTAGGTAGTCTAGACAAGAAAACTTTCCTTTTTGGTACACTTTAAAACTCAAAAACTTTTTAATCAAAACAAATGAAATGAAGTGTAAATTATCAATGTAAAATAAATCATACTAATATTATAAATGCGAAAGTTTAGATGGATGGATAGATGGATGGATGTTTGTTAGAGTTTGTAGCCTAAACGGTTGAACGGATTTCGATGAAATTTGGTATAGATGCAGAGGGTAGGCTGGAAGAACACGTAGGCTCCTCACTTTTCTTTTTTTTTCCACGCGGACGGAGTTGTGAGCGAAAGCTAGTGAGATAATAAATCTTATTGTAATAAATCTAACTACATGTCTATTATTTTGGAAACCTACTTTTTGAAGTCTGTTAAAAATGACATACGGAACCCTTTTTATAAATGTTGAACACACTTTACTCTCGCCTTTGTATTTTAAGGGCATTAAATCGAGCCTTTGTTATCGACAAGACTATAACAATCTTTTCTGTTGAAATACAACCGCTTCCGGTTTGAACCGGAAATTATAAACGTCAACATTTCGTTTTAAAATTTTCATAATGTTTCATCAGATGTTATTTAAAGTTTTATTCATCTATACTACGAGTATTATAGTAAACACATACTTCTTTTCTTATAATTCTTTTTTTATAAAAAGTCCTACACTTACATCACGCTTTAGGCTATATATTTCACGCCATTAAACTTAGGGGATAAATATTTTGGATAAAAACCCTAATGTGAGAAAGAGACCATAAGTGGCTGCCAACATCAAGGAAGCAAAGTTGCCATGGTTTGTCATAACGTCATGTCATTTTGACATTTGCAATTGATAATTTGACACATGTAAACAAAATAAAATTTTCATAATTTTATGCGGATGAAGTCGCACGGGAGCAGCTAGTATTAAATATAGGAAGAGCGCACATCTTTGACTAAACTACGCACAACTGTTGTACGATTCTCAATTGTTATGTAGCAAATTCAACTGTTTAGTTGCACAACTAAAAATCGAGGGCGCACCTCCATATAAGCTTATAAGAACCAAAGCGAGACTAAACTTGTACGATAGCTTCATGTTTTCGCAAATTATGTTATCTTATCTCACTTGTTAATGTTTTTTTTTTTAATATTGAATATTAATGGTTAGTAAAATGTATTAAACAACTACACTATTTTGGTGAAATCCGGCAGCACTTCCCTCATTAATAAATTACAATATCAAAACATAACCCTTTATAATATTACTAATATAAATGCGAAAGTTTAGATGGATGGATGTTTGTAGACTAAACCGAACCTGGTAGAGGATAGTCTGGAGACAGTGGTAAAGCCCGCTTTAACATCTTCGCACGGATATGTCGGCTCGCCCTATGTAATACCGACCAAAAAACAGGCGTGAAGTGGAAGCGATTCCGCGTTTCGTTTGATGATTGCGATCCTGGAGGCCTTATTTTGGTCCTTCTCCCTTTCCACCCTTTTCTTAAGAAGAAAGGATGGGAAAGAAAAAGATGGGAAAGGGGGAATGTGCTCTTTATGTGCGTCTTCTCCTCCGTCAATGTAGGGTAGGCAACGCATCTGCAATTGCGGATGTTTATGGGCAGCGGTCACTTTCCATTTCGGTGGATTCAGGGCGCATGCTCGTTTGCCACCTTATATTATTAAAAAAATCTAACTAGTGTATGATAGAATAATCCATCTTCGACTGTATCCATTCAAGAACACATCAATGTATCCATCAGGTAAATCCATGACAATCCTTCAATTTGGCTACGGTGTTAAAACCGTAGTACATACGTCCATCAATACACCGGTCTGTTGGTCCGTCGCAGCATTAGCAGAGGTATTGCTATATGCTATAGGCTGAGTTTATCAAATGGCCACGGCCATTGTTTTCGATATTGGCAAGTTTCCACGAGACACTGTTACATAGAGCTGTAAATGTTTAGAATGGGCAAATAAAATAAACTATTTCTGCAGTATGTTTTTATTAATTCGAAGATACCTTTTAACAAACATCTATCCATTTTTTTTATAATTTAAGGTGCAAACGAGCAAGCGGTCACTTGAATCCACCAAAATAAAAAGCGACTGCTGTCCATAAACCTCCGCAATTGCAGTTGCGTTGCCTAACCTTAATTGACGGAGGAGGGGACGCACATAAAAAGGACATTTCCCCTTTCTATGCGTCTCCTCCACCGTCCACTTTTCCTTTCCATCCTCTGCTCTTAAGAAAAGGGTGGAAAAAGAAAGGGACTAAAATTAGGCCTCCGGCACCACACTCCTCAGACGTAACGCGGAATTGCTTCCACTTCATGTCTGCCTTCTGTGTGGTCGTGGTATTACACCGGGCGAGCCGGCCCTGCAGTGCGAAGATGCAGGTGCGAAAGCAGGCTCTACCACTGCTAAACTTTCGCATTTACAATAGTAATAAGATTTCATTATTAAACGGGACTAGTAATATTATTAAGCACTTAGAAATATCATCATAATATAAAAAACTTTGAATATGTATCTTGCTGCGTAAAGTTTTCACTTACTAAAAAATTAAATAAGTGTAGAATAAATTTTTATGTTCCCAGCAAACTAAACGATCAATTAGAATATGATTAGGATACGTTTTGTAATATAAAACTGGTAAATAATACATTTACAACCGAATAATAAAACTAACCTTCAACATTTTCGGTTCGTAAACGCTTGCAATCTGACAGATGTCGAATAATTAAGATGTTACATAATGAAATTTTAAATTACTATTAATTTAATAGGAAGTAATTTTTGGAAAATTGTTTTTGTCTGCCCGCTCTATAACATTCGTAGTGCGTTTCATGTACGTCAAATCGACATGTATATATCTCTATTACCAAGTTGGCGCGAACCCAAACTGTGCCTTGTGAGGTTTATAAAAGTTGCACTACCTCACTCACTATCTCATGTGATACTGTTTGCATACAAAAAATCTGTCACGTGTAAACCAAATCGCTTAATGTCATTTTTTTTATAACATGAGGTTGCAAACTCGCAAGCGGCCTGAATCCACCGAAATGAAAAGCGACCGCTGCCCATAAACATCCGCAATTGCAGATATGTTACCTACCCTTCATTGACGGAGAGGAGACGCACATAAAGAGGAAATTTCCCTTTCCTATGCGTCTCCTACGTGTCCAAATCCACTGTTTCTTTTCATCCTTTCCTCTTAGAAAAGGGTGGAAAGGGAAAGGGACTAAAATTAGGCACTACACTCATCAGACGAAACTTGGAAATGCTTCCACTTTACGCTTGTTTTTTGTGTGGTCGTGGTATTACACCGGGCGAGCCGGCCCACTCGTGCAAAGATGTTAAAGCGGGCTCTACCACTGTTGAAATATTTGTATAAGTTTATTTAAAAACTAGCTGTTGCCCGCGACATCGCTTGCGTGAAATAGCCTATGCTACTCATAGATAAATTACCTTTCTAATGGTTAAAAAATTTTTGAAATCAGCCTAGTAGTTTTTGAGTAATTCCAATACATACAAAAAGACAGGCCATAGTCTACCACGCTGGCCCAGTGCGGGTTGTTCGACTTCACACATATCTTTGAATTTCTTCGCCGATATGTGCAGGCATCACTATGTTTTCCTTCGCCGTAAGAACGTCGGGTAAATTATGTACATATGAAAATTCGAAAAATCGAAAATCACATTGGTACAGCGGGATTCGAACCCAAGACCTGTAGATTACAGGTCAAGTGCTTAAACCACTGAGCCACCGACGTTCCTAGATATGTATAGCCTATGTATTATTGAAAGTGTTGTCATACTTTTTAAATTGGTTTAATAGTTATTGAGTACTTTGTAAGTAACGTTTAGAAGCACACCTTTAACTGTTAAGTTAGCACTTGCACTTATTGTGCGATTGTCGATTATTTCGTAGCTTTCAACTGTTTAGTTGCACAATTAAAAATCGAGTAATGTTACCTCCATATAAGGTCATAGGAATCAAAGCAAGACTAAACAATTGTGCGATAGTTTAGTTTTGCGTGTGTGCTCTTCGTTTAATTTTAAACTGATCAAATAATATATTACTCTTTAGTTACTGAGCCTATATTTATTGGTGAATAATCTTGTTTACCCGATTATCAATAGATAATTGGATTTTCATATGTACAAACAGATTGTAATTAGTAGCGACAATTAAATATTATCTAGTACTAGCTTTCGCCCGCGACTCCATCCGTGTGGAATTAAAAAAAACAAAATTGAGTGAGTTCTTCCAGGCTATTCTCTACGTCTGTACCAAGTTTCATCGAGATCTGTTCAGTCGTTTAGGCTACAAACTCTAACAAACATCCATCCATCTAAACTTTCGCATTTATAATATTAGTAAGAAGTGTGTATGTATTTGTCTATATTCAAATTTCGTCTGATTGTAATAGAATTGTTTGAGTGATCAAAGTTATAAAACGATTATTTATAATACTAGCATTGGTCTTCGACATCGTCCATGCGTAATTAAAAAGAAAATCGCAAATACCAACTGTACAAACATTCATCCGTCTATCTAAAAGCGTTTTAATTCTAATAAGATTTACGTAGTACGGATTTTTAAAGAGTCAGTGTTACAATAATTTAACAGTAGATGGCGTTGTTCTAAAATAACTTGACTCAATTAAGTTTATAAACATTCTGACTCTGTATAGTTTTTTCACTTAAATTAACAATAATATAGTTACAAAAGATTAAAAAAATTAAAAGTGTATACAAATTTTGTGACCATGTAACCATTGTCTTATAACAAATAATTTGTTATATAAATATGTTTTCATAAACGAGCTATTTTAAAAAAGCACACGTTCCCACATAAAAGCTTTCAGTTTAAAAAAACTCGAAAGCTTCGATCCATCGTGTTCGCATGCTTTGTACATAAACCTGCATAAAAATATCCTCAGGCGTCTCTCGTAAAAGATACTAAGCAGTTTTAGAGGTTATACGTGGCCTCGCATAATGATCACTCACAGATATCTTATGACTAGATGTGTTAAGTTTTTAAACCTTAAAATAGTGCCGAAGGCCTAATTTAAGTCCCTTTTTCTTTGCCATCCTTTTCTTGTAAGGAGAGGTTGGGGAGGGGAAGTGGGTTTGACGGTGGAGGAGATGCATAGGAAGGGGAAATATCCTCTTTATGTCCGTCTCCTTCTCCGTCGTATAAGGGTAGGCAACGCATCTGCAATTGCGGATGTCTATGGGCAGCGGTCGCTTCGCCATTTCGGCAGATTCTAGTGGCCGCTTGCTCGTTTGCCACCTTATGTTATAAAAAAAATACACGTGACTAAGACAGTCTTGGAGCCTTTTTTGAATTCCAAACACCTTATAAGTAAAAGCAGTGTTTCCCAGTTACTAAAATGATGTGAACGGATTGTACATATATATGTGAAAGTTGGTGTTTACTAAAATTAGTGCTTTTAAAGTAGTCTACGCAATAAAAAGTTTGAGAATCTCTGTATACAGAAGAATTTTGAAATAGAAAACCTCTATATTTTTGAACAACTTTCCGCAATTATGTTCGGTGCAATAGGTTTATTTTTTTCTATACCAACGTGTCAAAAGCCTTTTAAAATTCAATTTTGTTATGAATGGTTTTTCGTGTGAATTTTCTCAGTTACTAAATATTTGTAGTGGAATATTTCGAGAATTGTTTTTTATGTTTTTTTATATTATTCCTATTACATTCGGTTTTTGATTTCTTTTTACTTTGTACCGAAAAATAAATTGAAAATTTAACTATAATACTGGAAACATATACTTGGTTAAAATATAGATTTGGAGCTATGATATTTATAATTTCAAGTTATGAAACTTTATTCCCGACATTGTAAGAAAAACATACAAAATTATGTTTAATGAGCTATCGCCGCAAACTTCATAAGTGCAAATTTGAATCACCCTTTACGCAATTTTGACATCGCCAAATTAAAAAAAAAGTAGCCTATAATTTGCCCATCTATGTCAGCTACTCTTCAGTGAAAGACCAGGCGAAATCGGCCCAATCGTTTCAGAAATTACCCGGAACAAACGCAGCTTGTAGACAAACAGACAAAAATTTTTTAAATGCGATTTTCGTTACCAGTAACGCAAATACATCATCATATTACAAACAGACATTTCAATTTTATTATATGTATAGATAGATAAAAATAAAACAGAATGAAATGAAATTATGTCACATCCAGAAACTCTATCTCCGCGTGGCATACAGTATCGAATAAACAACAATTTAAATATTATCTTTGTTGACAGGGGTCTGGCGAGTATTAGCGACCTACGCCACTGGATCAGCCGAGGTGGATTGCTGTTAACCGTATTGAAACAAAATAAAAAAACGCTAAATTTAAAATAACTATTATCTTGTTACTTCAACGAAATGTACCTTTGTGTTGCAAGTACTAAGAAAGAGAATCCGACTCGAAGGACCAATGCTAATTGTGAACTGTATTTTTAGTTGACTGAATTAAAGGCCTTTGTGAGATCAATATAAAGACAGTAGTAAATTAACAAGAAGAGATAAATTTAAGAAGATATAATGCTGGCGCTAATGCGAAAATGATGGAGAAATTGAGAAGCGAAAGGTTAGAGCGGGACAAATTCGGCGAAATGTGGACATAAACAAGAAAGTGTTAAGATTATGTGGATGGCTACAAAGGTAGAGGAAGACCGAAGACAGTATGGATTGTTTGAAAGAGAATATAAAGATATGACGACAGATAGAGTAGGGAACAGCAAGCTGATAAGTTACAAGGTCAATGTAAATAATGTGCTATGCCATTCAGAACACAACTGGCAGTGTGAGGGCGGGCGGAGGAGGTCTGGAAAGGCCCCACCGCGTATCTCCTCGGCAGTGCAATAGTAGGGAACAGTGTATTGTAAGAGATTGTACAAACATCCTTTGTGCTATCAGCCTTGTTTCCGCTAAAGTATGAAAACATATCTTAGGATCCTTGGATTAATGCAGATAAAACAAAGGGCGCTATTCTTATCTTTGTAAAGAGGTTTAATTTATAACTTAAATATCTTAAATCCAAAACTAACTTAGCAATACGCAGGTGTAAATATTAATTATTTATTTGTACTGAAATTTCATACGTCTAAACTAATATTATAAAGAGGAAAGATTTGTATTTATATTGTAACGTATAAATTTAGCTATTGAAACGATTTTAGAATTCTTCTCAAAAGAGTTCAAGTACTTCATGATCTCTTCATCTCATATAAATGGGATTGTTTGGATGGATGGGTGATTGTTAGAGTTTGTAGCCTAAACTGCAGAACAGATCTCGATGAAAGGCATAGACGTAGAGGATAGTCTGGAAGAACACATAGGCTGACTTTGTTTCTTTTAATTCAACGTGGAAGAAGTCGCGGTCGAATGCCAATATTGAAATATGTTTTCATTATTCGGTCGTAATTAATAAAAAAAGGATAAAAATGTATTAACATTTTGTTAAACTAGAAACCTCTTTTAAAATAAACTTTTTAATTAAACTAACTTAAAGAGCGAACTTCCTTTGAAATTCGTTTCAGGATGTAGTTTATTTAACATACTTTAAAATATTCTTCTTTCATATTAAAAGTTAAGACAAGCATTCAAATCCATTAAAGGCATGAAATTTCAATTTAACGATTACTAAACAAAATATTACCTTAACTTAAAATTACTTTTTTTTATAATATAAGGTGGTAAACAAGCAAGCGGCCTGAATCCACCGAAATGGAAAGCGACCGCTGCCCATAAACATCCACAATTGCAGATGCGTTGCCTACCCTTATCTGACGTAAGAGGAGACGCACATAAAGAGGACATTTCCCCTTCCTATGCGTCTCCTCCACCGTCAAATCCACTTTTCCTTCCCATCTTTTCCTCTTAAGAAAAGCGTGGAAAGGAAAAGGGACTAAAACAAGGCCTCCAGCACCACACTCATCAGACGAAACGCGGAATTGTTTCCACTTCACGCCTGTTTTCTGTGTGGTCGTGGTATTACACCGGGCGAGCCGGCCCATTCGTGCGAAGAAGTTAAAGCGGCCTTTACCACTCCTTACTACTACTTAGCCAGTTAATAAGAAAATTATTCATTGTTCTTAATCATATCGCCTCAGAGTCATTATTTGCCTGCTAAGGGAGATCCTTAGCGTAGATTTATAAAAGGTAACATGTACCAATAAGTACACTTATTTTTTAATTACTTTCATGTCTCTTTTGTGTGTCATCAACATTAAGAGAGGGCGCGCTCCTTTTACTAAACTATTGTAAAACCGTTGTGCGATTGTCGATTGTTTCGCAGCCTTCAACTGTTTAGTTTCACAACTAAAAATCGAGTAGTGTTCTTTCCATATAAGCTCAAAGAAATCAAAATGAGACTAAACAGTTGTCCGATAGTTTAAATTTTGTCTGTAATTGTTCAGAAACAAAAGCTATATACAATTTGCAAATAGGTCGGTTCGTAGTTACGATGTACGTTACATGCATCGAATGGAATCTGAATTTCAGCAAGGCGTCAATCCGCAAGGCTTTCAGCCTGAATTTCGTCAATCGTAGAGCCTGTGCAGCACGAATCAAATGTTATCTCAGTTGAATCAGGTCAACGTATAAACAGAATTACATTTAAATTTAAAACCCTTTTTTTTACAAAATTATCTTCCACCCTCGATTCTTCCGCGTGGATTTAAAAAAGCAAAAATAAACAGCCTATATGTTAGTTTACACTATCCTCTATATCTATGCCAAATTTCATAGAGATTTCAAAAATTCCTTTACCAATAAAAAGCTACGTTATCGTTAACCAACATAGGCTGATTTTTTTATTATGTTTAATAGCTTTTGCCGGCGATACCGTCCGCGTGGATTAAAAAAGAACAAAAGTGGGTAGCCTATGTGTTCTTCCAAACTGTCCTCTACACCTGTATAAAATTTCATCGAAATCCATTCAATTGTTAAGGATACAAACTCCAACAAACATCCATCCATACACATATCTAAACTTTCGCATTTATAATACTAGTATGATTTCACGCAGACGAAGTCGAGGGCAGCAGCTAGTCTTGTACAGCTTAAAAAAATAGAAACGCATTTGCTAAACAAACTAATGTTTTAGATTATATTAACTTATTAAAATTAAGTTTGACTCTGATTTAGCTTTGTTATAAAAAGTATTTCTGAATGAAAAGGGAATTTGAGTATCAACAAGACGCTTCAGGAAGCATGTTTCAAGGATATGCATATATTACATGCATACCCGTACTGAACAACTTCATACAATGTTCCACACGCTTTACATGTGAAATTTATTCAAAGTAGTGAAACTTCAAACTGTGTTTATAACAATACTTATTGTAAGACATATGCATCTTAACATTTAACTATAAAGATTTCCTGTCTTTTAGATGTAAGTTATCGTGACTATGAGATTGTTAAAATGTTAATGCTAAATAAAGTGACTATAATCAAGTAATAATAACACTTTTACGGTTACTAAGTCATGAAATTGAAAAAATATAGATCATTAAAAATTAGTTGAACCTAAAAATTAAATACTCTCTGGAGTTAGAGCGGGCTCTACCACTAACAGGGGTGGAGCCCGCTTTAACATCTCCGGCCGGCCGGCTGGCTCACCCGGTATAATATCACGACCACACAGAAAACAGGCGTGAAGTGGAAGCAATTCCGCGTTTCGTCTGATGAGTGTGGTGCCGGAGACCTAATTTTGGTCCCCTTCCCTTTCCACACTTTTCTTAGAAGGGAAGGATGGGAAGGAAAGGTGGATTTGACGATGGAGGAGACACATAGGAAGGGGAAATGTCCTTTTATGGGCGTCTCCTCCTTCCATTTCGGTGGATTCAGGTGGCCGCTTGCTCGTTTGCCACTGTATATTATTTAAAAAAAAAGTTCTCAGAACCTCTTACGAAAGTTTCTTCAAGATGTATGTCAGATTATTTAGAAACATACGGAAAACAAAATTGCAGACAAAGATTTAATTGTACTCAGATTCCTTAATTAGTTCCTTAAGGATATCTAGTACATAACCACACCAAGATATGCCCTTATTTTTCAATAATTACTCGTATATAATGTAAATGTATGTAACATGTTGCTCGTGACATCGTCCGCGTGAAATATAGCCTATTTTACTCAGTGAAAACGTAGCTTTTTAACGGTGAAAGAATTTTTGAATTCAGCCTAGTAGTTTTTGAGTTATTTCAATATATACAAAAATACAAATCTTTCTTTTTTATGATATTAGTATAGAAGTATAGATTGCATTCAATTAATAGGTGTCAAGATAATACAAAACTATTCTGGTAGATTTCAAGATCTTGCATAACTGATGTAATTCTCGTAGCTTTGTTAGTTGCCGTTGCCGAGCGCCGACGCTGACATTCTTGCAGGATTCAACTCCCTGCAACTGAGAGGTGACGTGTGTTATGCACAATGTTGCAGCATGCGACTATAATTTTGAATACACACAAATGTGAGATATTTGTTTTGTACATTACTATGATATGCTAAGTGGAACTAATTCCGCGTTTTGTCACATAAGGCCTAATTTTTGGAAAATGAAATGTTGATATATTTCGTATTACATTATTTTCATTTTAATGATTAAATTATAGTTCATACATTATTTTAATGACATAAGTATACAGTTTCATTTTAATGATTCCGGGGTCTTTAATGGGTAATTGTAATCTTTGGGAATTGATCCGATTTTTTTAAACGTTTTAGGAAACGGCGTCAGATAATCTTTCAATTGCCATTTTTACAGTAGGTTTTATTTATCTAAAATCTACATTTGCATAAAACAGCAGCACATGTTTTAATATTTTAAAATGGTGAAATTTTCAATACAAATTTCTCTGTTAGTTAATGAAAGTCTTTTTCAACATAACATGTTTACAAAAATAAATCCGTGATCTTAAAGCGCTGTCCTAATTGTCGTCTATGCAAAGTAAAAGTAGACTTAACCCCTGAAGCGCTGCGGCTGCTTCCTGTGACGTTTATCCAATAGATTATCCTTCTTGCACTTTACTACACGTTTCGAATTTTAATTTTCTTCAGCTATATTTAATTTAAAATATAAGTAAGAGATTACTAGCTTCCGTCCGCGACTAAGGCAGCGGAATTAAAACAAAAAAACTAAAGTAAGTAGCCTTTTTTATACAATAAGATGGTGAATGAGCAAGAGGCCACAAAAATCCAACAAAAAGGCGAAGCGATCGATGCCCATAGACATCCGCAATTGCAGATACGTTGCCTTCCCTAAGTCGACAGAGAAGACGACGGACATAAAGAGGACTCACTTCCTACGCGTCTCCCACACCGTCAAATTCACTTTTCCATCCAATTCT